AAGATATATTATACAAGAAAAATCTGTTGAAATGTCATGGTTTTTTTATGTTTAATATTGCATCGAATATTTCCAAAATTCACCAGCTTAACTTCCCATGGATACTTTCCAGAAATTTACCAGAAACGTTCCGCCCCTTTGCAACACTAGTTCTCTATGATCGCTGCTTCCAGTCTGAACAGAGCAGCATCTTCCTGAAGGTGTGTCTGAGCTCGGCGCTGCGGAAGGCGTAGATGGCCGGGTCGATGGCGGCGTGGCTCACCATCAGAACCACGTGCAGCTGGAACAGGGAGCGGTAACACTCACAGTACGGGTTCATGGGGCACACCATGAGGAGAATGAGGTGGAGGAAAAACGGCGTCCAACACACAACGAACGCCCCAAAAAGGATGGTCAGAGTCAGGGCCCCTCTCATGCTGCTGCCCCTCCACCGCTGGCGGCCAAACTTCCCCCCACTGCTGCTGGGCAGGGCAGCAATCTTTCTGGCATGGATGCGTGCCAGCATGAACATGTAGAAGTAGAGGAAGCAGATCATTGCCAAGGAGACGACAAAGAAGGCAACAAAGCAGATCATGATGAACTTGGATTGGAAGAACCTCACCATGAGCACGGCTGACACCCCGCATGTTATCCAGATTACCCCCAAGATAGTCTTTGTGCGCCGCATAGTCATGATGTTGTGGTATCGCAGAGCATGGAAGATCGTGATGTAGCTGGAAAGAAAAACAAGTGATTCTATTATATGCTCAGTCAAGATTTTGGCGTTGTTTTACACTTGTGCTGTACACTGCATAAATAATGTGCATAAGGTCCAACTGAAAGCTCACTAAGCTTGTTGTCAAAATCTATGCCTCACCCAGCCTTTCCTCAAACTGGAGAGACACATTTAGCAACTATGGATAATTTGATGAATGAATTTCATGCATGTTTAGAGTCACTTCATATTTGTATACCATACTTGCATGATCTGAAATGAGTGGCTGTGTGGAAGGTGTAACATATTGTAAACAAGGTACTACTAGAAAGTGACACTTACAGTCCTTGTGGTAAAGCGTGCATGCAATATTGCAGTGGGCTTTAAATGAGCTCTGGATCTATGAGGCAGAGCCCTGAGGAAAGTTCAGACTTTCAGCAAATTCTCCCCAGAGTCCTAGTTAGTGAGGCCTGATGAATTTAAATATGAGCAGAGGATAATTGGTTGTAGGGTCCACAGTCAACAGAGAAACTAAAGAGCACAGCAGTAAAATGGAACTAAACTGCTTTGCTACGGGGATTCTGGTGTATTAGTGGGGTGAAATAAATGTATACCATCACAGATGCAAGTCCACCCCTCACTCTTTGAAGCATATGGTTTAAAAAACGGCTGGAAACGTGCAAATCAAAGCCATTCATACATACCGGTCCACAGCAATAGCCAGGAAACTGCTAATGGAGCCAACGAAGGACATACACAGCAAGGAGTCCATCACATCATCCAGGTTCATCTCAGAGGAACCTTTCTTCTCCAGCTGGCCCACGTTGGCAAACACAATCATCAGGGTCTCCCAGGTTTTAGTGAGGCTGGCCATGGTGTTGAAGGCTGCCAGGCTGCAGATGAAGCAGAACATGGGGGAGTGGAGGTTCCTGTTGAGTAGGACGGACACCACAACCAGCAGATTCTCAGCCAGGCTCACCACACCGATGGTGAAGAAGAGAGGGAGAGGAACCTTCACCTCGGGGCAGTCCGTCTGATTCACTGTGGTGGTGCTCATAGTTAGCCAAGATAGCTATCTGTCCATATTAGAAAGAGAACCATTCCAAGAAAAATGTTAACATGTCATCATTCTTATCTAATTGTTGGAATAGATTACACTGCAGCTAATTATAGATTGTCAGTTACAGCCTTGGCTTTTACAGTATCTTATTTTTTAAGTCCTGCCATTCTCTTCTACTCTATGCTTAGTGTATGTTATGTGAGAAGCAATGACTAGAGATTCAATCTGAACCAAAGTGGTTGTTTTTTCTAGGCTGATACAACGTGCTTCTTACTCCGCTGGGTTATCACACACATGGTAATGGTTGCAGCGAGCTTCGAACTGCAGCTGGTTTATCCATTTTGACAATTTTCACATAGGCCTCCTGAATGTGCTATTTTTAGTTGGTGGTTTTGGCACAACTCAGTCATCATGTAAAGCCATGTGGTCACAATTGCCTTTCTTTGGCTTTTTACATAGGGCACGTGTAATCGATGTTCTTCTCGGTGTTTTTGTTTAGATGGTGAATGTTTGATCTGGATTTGTTTTTTGTTTCTTTGTAAGCTCAAAGAAACAAAAAACTAATTGTCATGAAGTTAGTGTTTGCATTACATTTTTTCCTTTGAAATTCTTAATTCACATAACTAATGGTGTTATTTTAAAGAGCCTGTGACACGAGTTTCCCCCATCATCCAAACCCATACATTTGAGTAAATATTGTCCCCTTGAAAACCGTTACTGAACTGATTTTGGATATTTGTACTTTGATAACCATTAATCTGCCCTTCAATGTTGACCATATTCTGGATCTTCTCGGAGATTTATCAAATCCCGCCAAATTATGTGTGACGTCATTGCGGGCACAGCGCTCCAGCTGCACCGTTCAGGACCCCAGCATGCGCATGTAAACGCACGATGGCGCACACAGCAGCAAGCTCAGACAGCGATGACAGTTTAATTTTGAACGTGTCTGAGAGCTCATATGAGGCTGAAGGATCGGTTTATGTTGTATCTGTTAGAAGTTTAGGAATTAGGTGCGTCAATATGGGCGATAATACGGTCATGTGGACTGGGACTAAAAATCATCCCGGGACTCTCGACCGGCCCTCTTCGGTACCGCTAGTAAATTGTCAACGGGGGGATTGGGGGATGTGCTTGTGACTTATCCGGCCTTCGGTACCGGCCCATCGGGATTCGTCCCGATGGCCAGTCCGCCACTGCACCCAGCCCAGCCCACGTAAACTGTCAACGGGGGGAGCCTCGCTGCGGGGAAACGGTGGACCTAGTGTCCCGATCGGAGTCGGAATAATAATAAATAATCATAATCCGTGCATTTTATCCATTAATTTCCACAACATTGTGGTAAAAAAAACACACGTTTAATCCATGTTGGTGTACTACAACTACAAAAAGCATCGGTTTGTTTTTTCATCAGGAAATGCAGACCGGCTCAAACAAACGATTTAAATCATCCTCCTCACGATCATTTAATGTATCATATGTTCGCCGAATTGACATGAAAGCACTAATAAATGTAGTTTCATCCACTTGAGTTTACAACTACAAAAATAATCGATTTATTTTTATATCACATCCGACGGGAGGAAATTCAGCAGCTCTCACTACCGATTTTTTATCCTAATTTAATCATCATCTTCACCACGATCATTTATGTTCGCCGAATTGACATGAAAGCACTGACAAATATGAAT